CTTAAAGTCATTCTTTACCACCAGGTCAATGCACCAGTGATTATTACCCACAGATTACTCTTCCTTTCATATATCACATGGAGCCAGCTGTGGTGGTAGAGCTGATCAAGCCTGCAGCCCACATGCTAAAGTGTCTTTAACCAAGATACTGAACCCTGGGTTGCTCGTGATGCATCCATGGGGGAGGGGGGGAGAGAGAGAGTGTGTGTGTCAATGTCAGAGAGTGCTCAGATAAAAGCCGACTGGGTGAATGAGAGCTGTCAGGAGGCACTTTGAATGCTCAGCTGAGTAGAATGATGCTACATCAGTACCAGTCCGTGTAGCCAGCAAGTGCTTGGTGGAGAAGTTTGTTTACTTTTTGGTCACACATCACCTCCTCACTGCCTGTATAGTCAGCTTGTACTCGGATGTGTGTTTAGCTCAATTAGTGAAACATTTTTTTGTTTCCACCTTCAGCAGGAACAAGTTGTATTAATCTGCTAAAACCAGCTGGGATGGAAGACGAGCAGAGAGGAAGAAAAGAGCAATCAGAAGTCCAGCGTATACCTTATCAAAAGGTGACAATCCTTTAATCCGGGCTCGGAAGTATCCAGCTGCCAGCAGGAGCTCCAGGATCTCTGTCAGCTTCACGCTCTGCTCTTCGTCCTCCCGGGTTTCCACCTGCAGGCCAGAAACACTTCATTTACTCTTCCGTTTTTTGTTACTAAAACTACTACTAACGTTATTAACTCAATCCCAGAAGGTTGACTCTGTTCATCTGGACGTAGCGTTTTCACTGGGACAAACGTTTCATCATCCAGGTGACTTCCTCAGTCTTATAAACAGTACTTTCGCACAGTGACTGAAACCAGCCCACTGAAGGAACAGCTGTGAGGTCAGTTTCTTGCTCATTAATCGACAGAAAAAAACTTTTTGGGGATTTACTTGCGTGGAGGATTTAGCATGCATCAAAACGTTATTAATTCAACATTAACAAACTAGCTTCACCGTTAGCTTCAGCGTTAGCTTGTATCGATATGCGTCCGCAGTGCGACAGTTCAAACCCATCATCACAGCAGTGTTGAAATCTGATCCAGCTACTTTGTACCTGGATGAGGTTGCCGTCTTGGTCATACTGAGCGCCTATTTTCGACCCGGTTCTTACTCTGTGGAAAACAGACGTAGCCACCGCCATGTTTAACTGCACTGTTGATGACAGTCACGTGACCGTAGCATATGACAGGAAATATTGAACGCAGCGTTTCCAAGTGTGTCCGACGGAATGTGTGTTAATAACGACCGAGTGGTTCTGAGTATGAGCAGCAGATGGGGACACGGCACTGACCTGAAACAGCAAACGGACATAAAGGTGCCTCTGGATGAACAGATAACCAGCTTCTTCAGGAGCTTATTGTTTGATAATGTGACAGTATGTCCAAATTATTATATTTTCACAACCACAAGGTACAAACAGAGTTGCCAACTCCACAGTAAGGAAAATCGCTATTGGTTGTCCTAAAAGTCGCTAGAAGTCGCTAAATGACGTCATCGCCTAATTTGCATAATTGGTCATGCTAATGTAATTGTAACCTACGCTGTTGGAGAGAGAAATAGCATCGTGGGAGAGAGATAAAGTTAGTAAAAAACGTCTTAAATCCATTTATAATTTATATCTTTTAGCAATTATTGTTTTTTTTTTTAACCCTGCTCCTTTATCCGGGCTTGGACCGGCAAAAGTGACCCGAAATAGGCACTCTGG